ATACTAAGAATCATTGATAATTACTTATTATCCAGTATTTTTAATACTGAAAATAAGTAATTATCAATGATTCTTAGTATGATATTTCTATAAGAGTGCTGCCTTCAATACTTATTGCATGACGGTTAAATTGGATTTAATGACATAACAACATTTAAAAAAATAATAAGATGAGAAATTGTATGAAAAATTATGAGAACAATTTTTAACAGGAATGACATGTGTACGCCTTTAAATGGCTATTTAACCGTTGTACTATTCTATACTTGTACTCGTTATTTCTCTATTATTGTTGCTTTTTTGTAAAAAATAAGTAATACAATTTTAAAATATAAACATTGTTTTTATTGTATATATGTGTACAATTATCGCACAATATAATCATCTTGACTTCTCTGCAGCAGTTTTACATAGTGTGTATGTGAAACTGCCCCATTTAATAACGTACATATGACCCTTAATAGAATTAAATAGCCTATCTAGGAAACAGAATCTGCGCGCAATCTGCCGTCAGTCTGTCGTAAGGGGTGTATATCAGTTGGACACGGGGCAATTGGACACAGTCCAATCACAAGTCGCTGTTCCTACAAATGTCTCTAATCACACGGTGCTGTGATTGGCTGTGTCCAAATGCACCGTGTCCAAGTGTACCGCTCCCTGCAGCTATCGAAGGCGGAGTCCGCATGGAAGATGCAGCGACAGAATGAGTAGTTATAGGAATGGAGAAATGGAATATGGAAGAGGAAGAGGCTGATAGACCTTTACTACTGCCACTCAATCCTGATTTTCCGACTTTTTTGCCAGTCAGACTTTTTTTCTCCTTCGACTTAAACAGAAGGTCTGATTTAATACGAGGGCCTGGAGAGACCTTTTTGATAGGGGAGCGGTGCACTTGGACACGGTGCATTTGGACACAGTCAATCACAACACCGTGTGATTAGAGACATTTGTAGGGTCCCTTGGAACAGCGACTTGTGATTGGACTGTGTCCAATTGCCCCGTGTCCAACTGATATACACCCTTTTGATAGCGCCATAAATGCTAACATCAGGTGAGCTCAATCTTTTCCTGAGCTTTTCAGTGGTCTTCATAAGAGGTGAATTACACTTGATATTAGATACAGGAGATTTCAGCATACCAGACGCAGCAGAGGTAGCAAACTTTCCGTAACAAACTTTTCTTTTTCTCAGACGATTCTTCTAACGAGATCAAAGGCTGAGCATCCATGTCCTTGTCCTCAGAAGGTTGGAACTCGAAGATGTTGTGTGTATTATCATCCACATCCTTGTTTATTTCTTTATCTCCATGCTGGGTTAAGCAATCACGTGCTTCCATCGTGAGGATTATAAGTTAAGCGGTACCAGATCAACAAAGAATCACGTGATATACACGTGTTCAACGTATAGCAAGCGAGTGATAAAAATCACACTAAAGCAATTAAGCAGCCAAGCATTAATATAATTAGATAAATCAAGTAAATTAAACCAGAGTCCAGAAAACAAAGCCAGGTCGAAGTCAGTAAAATTAATACATTTACAAAAGCGCAAAAGATACGAAATTACAAGCTGTTAAGTGAGAGGCTAAGAAACACGAGGCAGGATGTATATCAGTTGGACACGGGGCAATTGGACACAGTCCAATCACAAGTCGCTGTTCCAAGGGACCCTACAAATGTCTCTAATCACACGGTGCTGTGATTGGCTGTGTCCAAATGCACCGTGTCCGAGTGCACCGCTCCCCACGAGGCACACCATATGGCGACCGAAAGCCAACTCCTACATTGGAAATAAATAGCAAGAAGTAGGAAGCAAGAGTAAGAAATTGACCAACTACAGTCGAATGTGAGAAGAATAATCAACTATGATCGGTCAATTTCTTATTCTTACTTCCTACTTCTTACTGCTTACTTCCAATGTAGACGTCCCTTTAGGCTACAGTCTTCTAGACTGAAGTTCCTAAAGACATTTTAAAAATTGTTAGTAAGACATATTTGTGTCGTCTTTAAAATATCTCTTAGACACGCGTGTTGTCTAAAATAGCGATAGTAAACTTAATTTAAACTGGTTTAAGTAAACTTTAAGTTCAATGGGTTTAAATAAACTAAATATCAACAGGTTGTAAGTAAACTTTAAGTTTGTTGTAAAACTTTTAATAAACTGCGAAATACTTTAAAATACTTTAAGTAACTTTAAAAAACTTTTAGTAGATTTTCTTAAGGGATATAACCTATATAAATATGCTGATCATATATAATATATACTAACTTCGTTTGTATTATCGGGCGCTGTTAATTTATCAGTCCCTTCAGCCATAATTTCTTGTTTTTATTATAATTTGCTGTTTTCCTAATAAAAAATTTTTCATACATAATTATATACAATTATATAAAATTATATATAATTATACATAATTATATATTATTATATATCAAATTTGTCCATTTATGTTTATATATTCTACTTATATATATAATCATGTATAATTATATATATAAATTCATATATAATTTGGGAGCGGTGCACTTGGACACGGTGCATTTGGACACAGCCAATTACAGCACCGTATGATTAGAGACATTTGTAGGGTCCCTTGGAACAGCGACTTGTGATTGGACTGTGTCCAATTGCCCCGTGTCCAACTGATATACACCCTATAATTTTATATAATTATTCAGATAGAAAAATGATGTCATGTCAATGATTTGTGTACATGTACAAGCTGAAGATTGAAAACATCGAATGTAGACCGGGACTAATGAACCTCGCGTTGGTTAAAATTCGTACTACTGAAATATGCTATTATTTTCTTTTCAAAATGGAGAAGTTTACATGCAGTAAAGATTAAGTAGTATTTTTAACTAAGTCGCATAAAAGTCGCCTAGAGATTGGGTTTTGCTTTACATCTAAGCTTATAACAAAGAAAATCTTGAAAATTAGATGTTCATGTCAGTTTGGAATGTGTTTTGTGAAATAACAAACTTTTATTATTAAACTATCATCAGTATAATTGATTTTTTTATCAATCTGTAATAAATTCTTTTGTTGTGTATATTATCTATTTATTTATATAATCTATTTCAGATGGAAAGGCAACCACTATATTTTGGAGCTCGATTATCTTTAGATGAAAGTTTATTAATCACGATGGCTTTCATTATTCGGTGGGAATTAGAAGAGAAATCAATTGAGCATCTCTTACGTCTCAGTCCTCCAGAGAAACATCAGAATCTGATGAAGAAGAAAAACCGAATATAAAACGCAAAAGTAAAAAGAGAAAGAGCAAAGTTTCAAAGAAAAAGTATATGAAACGCGTAAGTACTTTCGATTACAATCAAGTGTATCCCAGGGTTTATAAATTTTACCATTCTTTTTTGTTCTAAAGCCGATATTCATAGTTGTATCCTATATTTAAGACTTTCTTAGGTTTATCTTTACTTCATAAGCACTAAAATACAGACCATGTTGCATCTGAAGATGAACTTAAGATGGTCTTAAATATAAGGTCAGACTAGAAATACCCGCCTAATAACGTTTTTGATTTAGCGACGCAGGTCAAATCTGAGCCAAGCAATCAGTTCTTAATTTTCATCCAATATCAATGAGAAACTCTAATTGGTTTGATCTGACATTCAACCTGGGTCGCTGAATCAAAAACGCTATTAATTTGTTGTACATTTTTCTTTGTAGAATTCATCACAATCAATTGGAAGCAGTAATGAGTCCGAAGTAAATACTTCTTCAGAGAATGAAGATCTTCATTTCCAAAACATGCAGTTGAAGAAAAAAATTAAATCTCTAACGGCTGAAGTAGAGACATACAAAGCAATGAAATCTATGATTGCAGGTAATGGGCGTTATAGTTCTTTTTTGCCTTCGAAATGTTGCACTGTACAACAGTGCTTTGCCTTATATTATTAACAGAAGCAAATTTATGTTGCTTATTCTTATTTGTAGAATTTACTTCTTTGCCACGTCATGTAAAAAAAATACAGGAAAAGCTTAAAGAATGCCTTAAAGACAATCCAAAATCTATTGCAAAAACAATTCCCACTTCGGTACCAAATGTTAGTATTGTAAATTTAGTATTATAAAATGTAGTATATACCCTATGGGAACATCCATGTGCAATCCACGTGGAATTCACGTAAATAAGTCGATTCCACGTTACTTCCACCTCGATTCCACGGACGTTTCTATGGGGTATTCTTACGATGAATTCTTCCTTTATGTTATCATTTGCTACATTTTATATAATTCGTTCTATACATTATTTAGCTTTCTTCAAAATTGTTTCAATAATGTAAGGGAACACTCACTTATACCCTGGTAAAAAAATTTATGACAAACGTTTTCACCAGAGTATAATCTATACACGAGAATTAATTAACACATGTGACCTCTGAAATACTTGTATATTAATGAATTTGCATTACAATTTTGTTAACAGACAAGTTTTACTAACCCTAGTTCTAGGTGAAATGATCCTGCTTCTAGATGGGATGACGATGACTTTGCGAATAGATTAACACCTGTGCCTAGTACATCCACTGTAGATCTTGATATCGATGTCTCCAGTGCACCAAAGGTAAATATCACAAAGTTTTAAATTTCTCTTTTGAAACTGCTCAATAATATTTGTTCATTTGCTACTTTTATGTACTTGCTGTTTCTTTAAGTTGTTTGTATCACATAAATGTTATATATCCAATAAAGTTTCTTCATGAACGCCGTAAAATACAAACATTTTATATATTTCATGGAATACGCTTTAAGAGCTCTGATTATTTTTATATTTATTTTACATGAACATTATAAATTAAAAAACAGCAGGAACATTTGAAAGACATCTCTAACATTTCAATAGCTAAGTGTTATACAGATTTACCTGCCAATGACAACACATCTCCCTCCACAGGAGAGGTAATGTGGTATATTTGTTATCTCAATTATTGATAGAATTTATTTCTTGTTTAATTGTCAGTTGATATCTACTTTTCATAGATAGTACGTTTCGGATCTAGAAGTGTCCCAAAGTCAATGATAGATAAACTGAGATATGGAAAAATAGGCTGACAGAAGCTGTTTTTACATCTGAAGAAATGACACTAAGCACTGTCAGAGGTAGTAAAACAAATGCTCACAAGGCCGTGCTTCAAAAGAAAACTTTGGATTAAAGCCTTGTGCAAGCTATTATAGGTGAGTTCATTTCTTATACCACATTTCTCTTTATTTATTATAATGTATGAATTCAGTTTTTCAAATTAGGAATTTATTAATTATTTTTAACACTTTAAAGAACAAATAAATAAATATTTTTACGTAATATAAAAAATACATGTAAAAATATTTGTGTTATTAAGAATATTTTAAAAATATTTCCTTAACTCTCTCTCTATGTAATAATCTTAAAATTATAATTTACAAGTGCAAGATAAATATATAAAAAACAGACTACCCCATGCACATTGTCTATTATTTCATATGACTTTTAACATGTATGATTTCTTTATTTTTACAGAGTATTGTGCTACATCCTTTAATAAATCAACCTCAGAAGTGAGTTCTGAGGTGATAAAATCAATAGGATTTAAATTGAACAATTTTACTAAAACCGAAGAGGGCAAGAAGATAATCAAGAAACAAATTAAGCCTTGGGCTACCCATAGATTAATTGGGTGTATATCAGTTAGACACGGGGCAATTGGACACAGTCCAATCACAAGTCGCTGTTCCAAGGGACCCTACAAATGTCTCTAATCATACGGTGCTGTGATTGGCTGTGTCCAAATGCACCGTGTCCAAGTGCACCGCTCCCGATTAATCAACCAAAAAGAATAATATTGAATCATATTATTGCAATTATTAGTACATTTTCTTAATTTAATTTTCTTCTTGCGGTTTTGATTAATATAATCCAATATTATTTGTATATTTTTTCTTAGAGTTCATGAAACAAATATTATTTTTCTACATTGTAAGGTTTGCAATATTTATATTTAGTTTATCACAAGTTTTGTGCTTTATATTATTTTTTCTATGTTATATTTGGATATGCAATAATATATATAATATGGGTGTATATCAGTTGGGTACGGGGCAATTGGACACAGTCCAATCACAAGTCGCTGTTCCAAAGGACCCTACAAATGTCTCTAATCACACGGTGCTGTGATTGGCTATGTCCAAATGCACCGTGTCCAAGTGCACCGCTCCCATATAATATGAGGTAATAAAGTGAATAACATTTTTGCAATATAAATTTTTTTTTAGTGCGCTCCCTTAGTATTCATCCTAGTTTATTTTTAGTAATTCCATTAGTTTACTTTAAGTAACTTACAGTTTACTTTACAGTTTACTTAAAGTTTTGTTCCAATTAACTTAAAGTTTATTATAGTTTTCTACAGTAAACTTTTGGTAAACTTTTTAGTTTACTTTCAGTTTTTTAAAGTAGATTTTCTCACGGGATAACCTATAGGCTACTCTTTGTATCTTATTTATTTATATTAAATTGATTAACTTTTTCGTCTTATATATTGTTTTCGTTTTTAATAAATACATCGTTGCAATTGCAGCAGCTATATGTCGTCTTTGAACTTCACCTATAATCGCCACTGTACATCTATAATATTTTATATATCTCGATTATAACACTCCATTTTTATACTTATGCAGTTTATACAAGAGGTTAAACGTGGTGAATAGGATATGGCGACAGCGAACAGCGTTATAACACTACTTTGAACTATGCTGAAGTGGGGATAAAACGCTAGCTTTTATTCGCTCCATGAAAAGGATACAGGTGATAGCGAACAGCTTTTAAACGCTGCTTTGAACAACGATGGAGTGGGGTGAAACGCTAGCTTTTAATCGCTACGTGAAATCGCCTTTACGTGGATAGTCAACAGAGTGATGACTCTGTTTTTGGGTCACTTTTGGGACTCTGCTTTTCACCAAGTTTATTCTAGGTCTCCGGAGTCTGGTGACACGATCGATGAATCTGGCGAGAAATCTTTGCTGCTTGTCCTCTTGGCTCGGTCTTGGATGTTCCGGCGCTATAGCATAAGATCGTATGGACCAATGAGCATCGAATATTAAGCATCGAACACCAATATGGCGACTTAATACTCGATGCTCATTGGTACATACGGTCTTATGCTATGCATATGCAGTTATGTCAATTTGTGATTCGTACGTACTTGACCGGAAAAAAACTCCGATTGGAAAACTACTCTTTTATATCGTTTGTATTTCGTATGAAGAGTTTTGAAGTGCAATTGAAAAGATTTGTGAGTCATTCTATTACTTGTAATTAATTGTTCTTTTTTGGACTATGTATTTAGCCGGAAATAATAACCGGAGGTAAATTAAACAAAGATTCGGTATGGTACCGTTTGTATTTCGTATGAAGAGTTATGAAGTATCATTAAAAAGATTTGTGAGTCATTCAGATAATTTTAATTAAATATTAAAAAATCATGTATTTGGCCGAAATATCGATCTCAAGCGCTGCTGTGGAAGTACCGTCAGGCACGATCGGTGTACTATCTAGTATTTCAATACTCCTGGTTTTTTTTCGATCGCATCAACTTGCTAATGCCCGGCAAACATTTTTATCATTATATTGTCGAAACGTCACGCTAACATCTCGGCAACAGTAAATGTTTCGCCTGTGGACGATGCAGGACAACGTTTTATTTATAACGTTATTTCAACATATAAGTAACGTAGCAATCAATTTTGCATTATGACATATTCTTGTTGCAAAAACCTCACAAATGAATCGTTCCTCATGTTAATAAACATTACTGTCAGTATGTAGGTTAATAGTATGTAGATATAATAGTTAAGTATACGCGTGTCGTTCGCGCATTCAGAATTATTTTCCTCGAAACCTACTGCTTGATTTAAAAATTGGTTGCCAGCCACTCTTTATTACCTTGTACAAACCCGGTAAAAGGTTTTCCTATATATTTACTATTAATTTATTCGACAATCGCGCGTCAATATTTTACTTTATTTTAGAGAAAAGGCGCAGATTATGTCGTTTTCAACACGTCCTCAGAATTCAACGGCAGTGACAGCGATGCTCTGTCCGAGGAAGCGATTTCTTGAGAAAAAATTTGGAAGGAAGCTTATTCTTCATCAAGTTAAGCGCGTTATATCCGTTGACACCAAGTTTAAATACAATGAGTGACAGTCGATCAGATCGCTGCTTTCGTCTCATGTGTACGCTGAGGTATTTCTATTGTTGGTTGAAGAAACATTCGCTAAATATCATAATTCGGGGGACATGCTGTAAAAGGTATTGTAATTGTTCTGTAAAAAGAATGTATCTGTTTTTGTGCGTTTTTTACATATACCTATATAATATATATAAAATAAGATACATTATCTGTTTTAGATAATCAACAAATCTCACATCAAACGCACCAATTTATGAATTGCTGCTATGAATGCCAGTTTTTGCTTTTCTACATTTAAAAGATGCCACAAAGTTTTATGGATCTTTTATTTTTTTAAGTCCTATTCTTTTTGGCAAGTTTATTTTATTCTTAAAGACACGTT